ACTCCTGGGGAAATCCTAGCCTTGCACCCAAGTCTTGCTGGTCAGCCACCCTGGCCTTTTGCCTAGACCCAGTCAGTACCCTGTACTCATTATATAAACTCAGTGTCTATGAAAACTGCTGCCTCTACAAGAAACAAGAAATGGAAAATTATTTGTTGACGATACATGTATGATTAAGCCACTTTACACTGTATTCTGGCTGGAAAATCGCATTTTGTATGCTGTGGTGATGTTCAGTGAAAGTATGTAAAATAAATTAATTCAAAATAAAAAAAAAGAAAGAAAACTGCTGCCTCTTGTCATGTGTGTTAGCACATTTACCACCCAGGTTGTTTTAGTTTGTTATAGTGTCTTGCTCTTGACCATGTGGCCCACTGGTCTTTCTCTAGGATCGGCCAGTCCTCTGCTTCAGTTAGTACCCACAGTGTATGGCAGTATACTGCAGTCTATGCTTGCATGGACCCTCCCCTTCTCCCTAGGGCAGGTGGAACTCTGGGTTAATAATGAGGTTGAACCAATGGATTTACAAGGTGGGAGTGTGGGTGAGTAGTGATTGGCAGAGGCTTAATGAAGAAGCTTAGAAAGAGGTGCTTGGTGGTGCAAGGTCCCTGAGAAGACAGGAAGAATGAGCTCTGGTGTGTGGGTCTACCTCATTACAGAAAGGAAAATTTCTTCCCCACAGATAAAACAGAAAAGAACTATAACAAGAACAACAAATCCTTAAATATGTCAGTCTTTACTGAAATTTTTGTTTTACTGTATTTAATACTCATACCAGCACCCGATGCAGGCCCTATTATCATCCCCCATTTGCAGATTAGAAAATAGAGCCTGGGGCAATTATGTCACTATTCAAGGCCACATAGGTGGAAAGTCAAGGAGTTGAAGCCACCATGACCTGACTCCAAACTCAGGCTATCACTGTGCTCCCTGGGGAAGTGTGTGTTAGTGAAGACAAAGGAGTCGGAACCACAGAGAGGAGAGGTTGAGGGGCTAATACTGAATGCCTCAAGGTCGTAAAGGAAAGGAAGTGAGGTCATCTCTAGAGATTGGACTTGGGGAGTTTAGTCATTTTTGTAGATCTTAACGGGGATAGAAAAAGGTTGGAACAGCCACTGTGGGATAGTCATGGGAGTTGACGACAGGACTAAAAGGAATGCTGGACGGCAGCAGGGCCACAGCTGAAGCTGCAACATGAATTTTGCTGTGGAATCAATGAACACAGTTTTATGAGTTTCGCGCCCAGGTCCTCTGGACCACAGAAGGAGGCAATGCCTTTCTGCTCGCTCCTTAGGACTCCACTCTTGATTATGAGCCCGGAAGAGCAACATCATGTGCTGATGCACTGAGCCATCTGCAGAAAAGGGGATAATGGGATCCCGGGGGGCCAGGGATGGGCCAGGTGGGAATGAGGGAGGCTCAAGAGAGGAGAGGAGAGGAGAGAGTTCCCTGCCAAAGGGACAGACTGTGAGGAGACCTATAAAATTAGAATGGGGCCTAGGAGAATTGGACAGGGCTGGCAGATCAGAGTGAAAAAGTCATTTGCAAAAAAATGTATGACCATGTTCACACATTACTGCAGCCTAGAAAACAGTCACTTCCCTGCCTATCTAGGGTGAGTAATAATTTGTGTCAGGCAAGAAGACGGGAATGCTGATTTCATTCTGTTTATTACCAAAGAAACCTGGGGGGGTGGGGGGGGTGGGGCTGAACAGCCTGGTAAAACACTGGCCTCATAAAGGCCTGGTGTTTGCTAACGAGGTTGTATTACAACCACACTCTGCTTTCCAAAACAGCACCCTCAGGAGGAAAGAAATAAAGTCATTTTTCTTTGGAGGAGGCAGAGGATTTAACATTGCTTAACAATAACACTTAACATTGCTCAGTCCTTCGCCTTAGGCAACCTGGTAACTACCCAGTGCTAGGAACTGTCTTTCCCTGTGCTGGCCAGGGAGGGCCCTGGCTTTATTTTGTGAAGCGCCATTTAGCCTGGAAGCAGGCTGCGTGGGTCTACCTTAAAGATGACAGAGTGCTGTGAAACCATAGGAGGGTGCCCCTGACAGGGGCTCCTCACTTACTCCAGGCACTACAGGGTACTTCCCTCTGTGTCTATGGCTTCACATTTGGCACTTAAATCAACATTATCGAGTTTATCTGAAAAACTCCTGTGACGCTGCTCACACACAACATAGAAACCAGATCAGTCAGCAGCCTATTAAGTCCCCCATAAGATCGGTCACGGACTTCCTATCGATAGACTTATTCCTATTTTTAATTAAAAATTTAACTCTATAAATATTTTAACGCTCCCTGCCTCGGTGACAAAGAGGGATCCGGTGCCTACAGAGAGGTGCTCTCCTCACTCTCCCGCAAAGGGAGAGAGCAGTGAAGCTGGTGTGATTCAATTAAGTGGACGGTAAAACCTCCAGGGGGGAAGCTGAGAAAACTGGGTAAATGTCACTGGCACTCAGAGCTGAATCTGCATACCCTCTCAGAAGCCTGCAGGGCAGCGTGTCCTCTTCCCTCTGCACTCTGCCTCTTGTGAGGAAGTTGCGGATCCTTCCTACCCCCCATTCCTCCACGGATGGCAGCATACTGCCAGCGAGGGGGCTTTGTGTCTCCTCTTTAGATACCGAAATGAAAACTGCAGTTTGAGCTCCATCATTTAAAAACCACTGCCTGGGATCTCTCAGGCATTTGTCTGAGCCCTGTTTATTCTCTACGCTGGCTCCTTTTGGTTGCCAGGTAGTTACAAAGGTCTGCTTGCACGTGCAGCAGAAAACGCCTGTATTATGTATGTGTGTGAGCGGACTCTGCCAACATTATTTTCCATCTAAGATGCATCCCTTTTAGCTACAGTTATATTCTTGGGACTGGCAAGATTTTGTCGACTCATACATTGTGATGATAGCTGCGAATAGTCTCAGTGTATTGCCTTTGTCAGAAAACTCCCTCTGCAGTGCTTAATCCTGAAATAGACCCGTTTAGTCAGCCATGATTGAGCATTTCTGGGCTTATTAGTGAAAATAAACAGGAGTCGGAAATTCAGAGGGCTTTATACTAATAATTATAAGCGTTTGTTGTAACATCATAAGAGGCTGAATTACTTGCCTCTTTTACTAAATAGAGTCCTTAGGAAGGACTGGGACTGTGTCTTCAATCTTTTTTCTTTTCTTTTCTTTTTTTTGAGAGGTTTTTGCTATTGGGCGCAAGTGTTCGCCAGCCAGACAGACAGAGATAGAGAGACAGAAAGAGAGAAATCACCCCCCCAGGGGGGGATGAACATGCCGCAATCCCTTCTCCTCCATTCTCTTCTCGGGATCTTGGGCACGCACACATGCTTGACTTGAGTTTAAGCCACCGGGTCCGAGACTTGAACCATGATCGACTACATGGGAGTCCAGCAGCACAGCCATTACACTAACTGCTAGTCCCTGTGTCTTCAATCTTCATATTCTCAGGGCAGATAGATAGTAGGTGCTGTCCAGATATATAGGGAATAAATCAATGAGTGAAATTTATAGAATTTTAAATGTATCTGTGCATTTGATTTGTTCCCCAAAAAAGGGTCTATTTTTGCATCAGTACAAGTTGGCCAGGAAGACATTAAACTGTTTCCAGTTTTCCTTTTTCCCTCGTCTCATAAGAACATACAACTTTCCATCTGCCTTAACCACAATTTCTATACACTTCAACAGTGGAAGCCGGAAATCTTATATTTAAAATGAGTTTTAGAAACTATTTCCATTTTTTAAACGAAAACAAAACACTAGGCTGGAGGATAAAAAAAGGGAGACAGGAAAGAAATCACAGATGAGACAAAAACTATGAATAACATATTAGAAACACAAGGGAAACAGGGAAATACATAAAATACAGATGTATAAAAGCTTCAAAAACATTGTATTTCGGGTATCCTTCTTAATTAGTGTCAAGAATTAGCTCTCTGCTACATAGATTTACTACTTTCAAAAATCAACAACAGTTTATAAGAGCAGATGGTCACGTAGGTTAGATTGTGCCTAAGTAATGCCTGTTGTAATGTTCGGGATGTTATTTTATGTTCGGGATGTTATTTTTGTCAGTTCACACCCAGACGTATACCCAACACGCAACTCCAAATAGTAACTCTGTCTCTGAATTAGCACTTTAACAGCTCAACTTTGATAAAAAAGAAGCTTTACTTGAGGATCCTCTCCTCCTCCCTTGAAGAGGTGACATTTGGAAACATTTCAGTTTTCTGGCTGGCATTAACCTTTTTTTGTTTCTTTTTGGAACTCACTAATTCTCACACTCTCAACTGATCTAACTTCCAGAGTAGCTGGACGGTCTGCAATCCTGGAAAGGTTTCCTCTTTGTAATGTGCTACTGATCACTGACTAAAATTACTCTTCATCTCACAGAAAAGAGCACAAACCTTTGTGAACCAAGAGTGTCTAGTTACAGCATAAGTGGATCATGTTAGGCCAGAACTTTTCCCACGCAGTGGTTGCTTTTCCCCACTGGGTCAGTGCCTCTCAGCGATATTTGCTTATTGCCTTGAGAACAAACATGGTCAGATTCTAAATCAAGCAAGAGCACCTTCCCGGGTTCATATTTCTCTCAAAAACACCCTCACGAAGCTCCAAGCTTAAGGTTGGCCCACCTTCCTTGTGAGCAGCTCCTAGGACAGAGGATTTACTATTTTATTGTTTCTAAGCTGGGTGCAGGATGTCCAATACCATTTTTATAGCAATGGCTTAAGATTTCCATTCAGTATCCAATATTCTTGCTGACATGTTCAATTGCAATGATATACTATTTTCTCCTCTTAAAAAAGTATCCCACAAGTGTTTCCATTATTAGCACAGTTGTAAAGATGGCACTAGAGGTGCAGCAGATGACAGAAAGGTAAAATTGTAATGTAGTTCCTATTTCAAAGCCAGATTTCTAGTTTGTGTAGACTTCTCTAACACTGCATTAGCAAGTGAGCTGGTCACGGAGACCCCACTGTGGTCTACCTGGGTAAGGATGCATACTGCCTCTCCATCCCCTCGAAGCGGAGGTTGTGTGCATTCCCATCTGGACCCTTTCCAGACACCTGTGGAGAGAAAAGTAATTAGAGATGAAGCTCCATTATATACCCTGGTTCCTGACAATGCATCTCAAAATTATAATCAGTGCACGGATGCTGCTGTTAGCTGCCAAAAATCAACCATGGAGAAGCCAGCAAGAAGGCAGCATCGCTATAGGAAAGGATGATCAAGTCACAAGCTGGCATTTAACAACAAAATCACTTCTTTCAAAAAAGGGTCATTGTCAAACTCACTCTTCTTGCCTCCATGCCAGGAATATTTTGTAGGCTGTAAAAACTGTTTTCTTTTTCTTCTTAAAATAGTCTTTAGTTTTTAGAAGTTCTAGAGTTATAGAAAAATGGAACGGTGGGCCAGCCACTAGCATGGTGGTTAAGGGGGCTGGATCCCACATGGCTGACTGTACCTTGCGAGTCCTGGATCCATTGGCTTGGAAAACATGCTGGGCACAGATGCATGTATGCCCAAAACCCTGAGAAGAGAATGGAGGAGGAGGGACTATGGTATAGCTATCTCCCTGGGGAGTGTTTTTCACTCCATAACCCTTGCCTTATTTGGTAAATACATGCAATTTTTAAAGAATAAGAAAAATTGAGCAGATAGTACAGAGTTCTCATATATCCCATACCCAGCTTCCCTATTACAACATCTCACAAGAATATGGTACATTTCTTAAGATTAATGAATTAATATTGATACAAAATCATTATCAACCAGTCTATGGTTTATTCAAATTTTTATCTAGTGTCTTTTTTTGTTCCCAGGATCCCATCTAGGATACCACATTAAATTAGTCATCATGTCATTTATAGGCTCCTCTTGGCTTTAAACTAAAAAATATTTAAAAGAAGAAAAACCATAGCATATGCTGTAAAGATGTACAATGACGAAATGTAAATAAGAAATAATAAAATTTAAAATAAAAATGATGAAAATGTATAAGTCAAAGAAATAGTTAAAAGTGTAAGATAAATCATATACATACACAGTAGTAATATTTAATTCTTTATGTATACAAACTTGTTATTCCAAAGATGATATTCTTTTTTTAATGAAAAAAATTTTTAAGAGAGATTTTTGCTATTGGGCATGTACATTTTCCATAGAAACAGGGAGAGACAGAGACAGAAAGTGAGAAATCATGCCCCACAGGGGACAGCCATTCTGCAATCCCTTCTCCTCCATTCTCCTCTTGGGATTTTGGGCATGCACACACACATACCCGGCATGAATTTTAATCTACTGGGTCCAGGACTCAAACCATGATTGACTATGTGTGAGTCCAGGGACATAACCATTATGCCATCTGCTGGTTCCCCAAAGACTATTTTCTTAAATCACTGTGCAGTGACTAATTATAATTCAAAATAAATTAATTAAACATCACCATGAAATTGTAAATGACTCATGTATCAAAGAAGGAACTATTGTGGAAAACATTCCCGGTGCGGAAAACATTCCCTTCAGAAGATGTCCTGTAAAACTTCTTTGTATCTCAGCAATTCATGCAACAGAAGTAACTGGAGTTGTCAGTGAGGACAAGAGTCCATAAGCTACCAGGTAAGAATGGAGACTGTACACACATTCTCTGAAATTAGGGTACAGGCCTTGATTTCAACCATGGACCTTTTCACCAAAGACCAATGGCGAGGAGAGTGACAGACAAGAGGTAAATAAATATCAAAGAAAAAGAAGACGTGAAGGACAGAAGCATTGCACCCATGCCTATGTGAGGTTTGTTTTCTTTTTGAACTTTCTCCTATAGAAGAATAATTCACGTGACTACCAGAACCAACAATGAAGATTATTAATTGTGCTTGTTAGAAAAACATTGTGCTTCTTTATCCCTAGTATATCTTGAGACATTTACAACTAATCTTTCCCTTGTAGCCATCAGGTTCCACTTGATACTCTGAGCTGGCCTGACTGAATGCTGAAGGCTGTCAATATTCTGGTGCCTCAAGGAGGCAGTGACCTACCTGTTGCTGTTCTGGGGAACTACCTACCAGCATACTAAATACGTGAAAACAGAAGATGATCCTATCCTCAAGGAATATTCTTTTGTTTGTTTGTTTGTTTGTTTGCTTTTGCTATAGGACACAAGTGCTCATGGGAGGGAGGAGGAAGGAGGGGAACAGGGAGATGAGAAAAAGAAAGGCAAAAACTGGCCCCACCTCCATCCCCCACCCCCAGGAAGGAGGGCCACTCGCAGTCCCTTCTCTTCCATTCTCTGCTTGGGATTTTGGGCATGCGCACACATGTGCCCAGTGTGTTTTTCAAGTCGCTGGTTCCGGGACTTGAACTGCACAGTCGGCCTTGTGGGATCCAACCGCCTCAATTTCCATGTGACCTACTGGTCTCCTTAAGCATTGCTCTATCTTGTTGGGAAAACAAGTATTAGAAATGAAATAAGTGAGGACTGATGTTGGACAATGTAGAATCAAGTGCCATTCAGAATGTTACCAGTAGCAGCACAGACAAGGCCTGGAGATGTTAGGAAAAATTTGTGAAAGCCGTGGAACTTAAGCCAGGCTTCCAGAGATGGGTGGCCCACTTGTACTCTTTAGTAATAGTGCAACATCATTAATGCAGTCATTCAATTAGCGATTGCTGAGTATCTACTGCGTGCGTCCTAATGCCATGTGAGCATTATATTCAAAGCAGTGAAGAAATCCAACCCCTGTTCTCACCAAGACAGGCCTGCAAACAATTACGGTACATGAGATCACCGCTAGAGTGGAAGTCTGAGGCAGGGGGCAGTGGGAGGAACAGACACCAGAGTCCACCTGGGAGACTCGAAGACAGCTTCATCTGGGTGTTGAAGCTTCACTGAAAACTTGAATATAAATGAGGAGGGATAATGAGGAGGGGTTTTTCAGGGGAGAGGAGTGTAGGAGTAGCAGAAGAAGAAATTCTAAGTAGATACAACTGAAGTGAAATAACAGGGAGGCATGAAAAAGCACTGTGTTTTTAGGGATTGTCAAGGTTTTGGTTAAGGCAGAACTAGAGGGTATAAAGAAAAGGATGTTCTTAACTAGCAGCAATATAACAGGAGTCACTACTGTGGCTATGACTGCTACTACAATACTGCAGTGTTATTGCTATTTTTAAAAATGTTTTTTCTTTATTCATGATAGAGCAGAGGTATTGTGAGAGAAAGTGAAACAGAGAGAGAGAGAGAGAGAGAGAGAGAGAGAGAGAGAGAGATTAATACCCACAAGTCTGGTCATGCCACAGTTCCCTTTTCTCTAGTTCTCTGGCCATCAGGGACTTGTTCTCGTGCCTGGCATGTTTCAGGCTGACTGGGCCAGGAATTTGCACCACAGTTACCACATGGGATCTAGTTTCTCTCTCTCTCTCTCTTTCTTTTTTTTTTTTTTAATTTAGGTTTTTGTCATTTGGCATGTGCACTTGCCAGAGAGAGAGAAAGTGAGAAATCACTTTCTGGGGGGTTGGCTACACAGCAACCCCTTTTACTCCATTCTCCTCTCAGGATTTTGGACATACATAACACGTGTCTGGAGTGATTTTCAAATGCTGCCATGTCTAGGGCTCAAACTGTGGTCAGCCATGGAGGAGTCGAGCATCTTATCTACCAAGTCACATGACAGCACTGGAATCTGGCTCCTCTTCATCAGTGCATTATTGTGTGCTATGTAACTGGTCCTACTACAACTTTTTGATAGTCTATTTTCTTAGAGAAGTTTTAGGGCCAGATCAAAATTGAGAAGGAGTTACACAGATTTCCCGTATACTCTCTTTTTCTTTCTTTCTTTTCTCCTTCTTCTTTTTTTCTTAGAAATTTTGCTATAGGGTGCGTACACTTGCCGGAGAGACAGAGAGATAGAAAGCGAGGACACAACCCCTAGGGGGAATTGCCACACCACAATCCCTTCTTCTTCATTCTCCTCTTGGGATCTTGGGCATGCACACACACGCCTGGCATGAATTTTAAGTTGGTGGGTCTGGGACTCGAACTGTGGTCGACTACATGGGAGTCCAGTGACATAACCATCATGCCATCTGCTGGTCCCTCCATCTCACTCTCACCCATGCACAACCCTCCCCATTATCAGTGTTCTGACCAGAATGGTACTTTTGATATAGACAAGGAGCCTACGGTGATACAACACCGTCACCCCTGTCCATGGTTTTCATTAGGATACTTCTTGGTGGTGCACATTTTGTGGGTTTGAACAAATGTGTAATGACACATATCTGCCATTATTCTATCACACAGAGTAGTTTCATTACTCTAAAAATACTCCACGGTCTCCCAATTCATCCTTCTTTCCCTACTCCTGGAAACCACTGATCATTTTACTGCCTTCATAGTTCTCACTGCTAGAATGTCATACAGTTGGGATCATACAGTGTGTAGCTCTTTTAGGTTGGTTCATTTCACTTAGTATTATAATATGCATTTCAGGATCTTTCATGTCTTTTCATGGCTCGATAGCTCATTGCTTTTTAGCGACGAATAACATCCCATTGTCTGAATGTACAACCATTGACTCATTCATCAGCTAAAACGCATTGATGTATTTTTGCACTTTATCCAATTCTCCCTTCTTATAGATGCTATCCTGAACTACAGGTCCTGGGAAACCTCCAACCACAAGTCCCAGAAACCCTTGCAGTCGGGATAGGTTATGATTTAAATCAGGCCAAAGCACTTTGGAACTATTACTGAGGAAGTGGTACAGGTTACTGATTATTCTGGCAAGAATGACTAAAGGTTTGGTTTATTTTCCTACGGGAGTTTTAGCAGATGTATAATTGCTAGTTTCTGGGATAGAATGTAGCTAGTATAGCGCATTTTGGAGGTAGCAGCAGTAGAGGTGGCTTCCTGATGGTGGCACCTTCCTAATCATCGCGCCCCCTTATTTAGGCATTGCACGGCTTTGGGTCCTAAAGCTTTTGTATAGAAGTGACAGCAGCTTCTTGATAGCTCGGTTTTGTAGTGTGTTTGGAAAATTATTATTGCCTTATTTCTTTCACCTTCCCT